AAAGAGAAGAGAAGTGGAGAGGAAAACCTAGAATCATCAAGGAATCATCACCAAAGCTTGCAATCGATCGGTAAGGGTGTGAAACTCCATCATCTCTTTAATGTGTATGATTGTATGTGTATGTGTGTGGATTTTGTAGAGTTTCTACTCTTTTTCCACTTAGGTTAGAAGTTGGTGTTGTGAGTAGAATGAGGTTTTAATCGGTTAGAAATCGGATTAGACGATGTAGTTTAGTCGGGTGATGGTTGGGTTGTGCTACTGTGACCGGTTTGGATTTAATCGGTTGGTTGTGTGGAGTTTGGGCTTTGAGACAGCCATGGAAGTTCTGTCTTCGCAAGTTCGCCAGGCGAATGGCAGCGAAGCTTCGCCAGGCGAAGCCCAGCGAGCTGTAGCGAAGCAAGTCAGAAGCTGATACCCTGTATTCGCTGGCAAGTTCGCCAGGCGAGGTGAGTTGGCGAAGGTTCGCCAGGCGAGTGGGTAGCGAGCCTCAGCGAGTAATTCCAGAATTACTCCCAGTGGACTTCGCTGGGGAGTTCGCCAGGCGAAGGCCAGCGAGCATTCGCTGCGTGGCTTCGCCAGGCGAAGGTTGGCGAACCTGGCAGTGTTATTTGTTTTGCTGTTTGTTCATGACATGATGTTTGATTGATTCAATTATGATTAGTGCCTATATGAATGATCGATGTGTGAACCGTTTCAACACGTTGTGCCGTGGGTGGCCGAAAGGCGTGAATCCTAGATTGTAGAGTAAATGATAAATCTTGAATATTTGATAATCTTGTGTATTTACTCAAATTGAATAGAAACGCATTGATGGGCTGATATGTGTGTAAACCATGTGTGGAATGGTGCATAATGTGAATGCATGATAGATATATGCGATGTATGTGATAAATGCAATGAATATGTTTGTGAGCATAGTATGCATTTTTGTGTCGATTGATCCCTCGGAGGATTTGCAGAACCTCGTATGATACGATGGTTATATTTGATTCCTTGGAGAATCGGTTGCATTGTGTGATTCCTTGGAGAATCGGTCATAGCATGTAATCCCGTGGAGGATTGGTTAGAGTATTTGATTCCGTGGAGAATCTGCTGAGTACTTGATCCCGTGGAGGATCTGCTGAATATTCGATTCCGTGGAGAATCTGATGAATATTTGATTCCGTGGAGAATCTGCTGAGTACTTGATCCCGTGGAGGGTCTGCTGAATACTCGATTCCTTAGGGAATTTGTTGAATGAGTCGGTACCGCATTTGCATCTGCATAGGGTCGTGTGTCGGTCTCTATGAGTTGCATGAGTCATCTGTGTATGATGCATTGGTTGTGTGAATATTACTGTGTATGTTATATGTGAATTGTTTGGAGGAAATATAGTGATTGTTCATGCGTATGTGTAGAGACATGATTATTTGTATATGCTTAATGTGGTGAGAACATAATTTGAGTATAACTTGTGTAATTACGGAGTTATGTATATATATATATATATATACAATTTTATGCATTAACTGTTATGATGTTGTTTCTCACCCTTCTGCTGTTTTATAATGCTCTATGAGGCATTGCAGAGTAGGAAGCTGGAGGTTCTTTTGTGAAGCGATGTCTTCATTCTTTTTGGTCAATGGCTCTGATATGTAACATCTGGGTAGTTAGGAAGTCTTTGACTCTTTTGAAGATATTTTGTTTTGATTCTTTTGTGATACATATGTGTATGTATCTGTTGTGGATATGTTGTAAAGCATGAATTAACTAATGGTTGTATATACTTTTATGAATGAGATCGATTCAATATTTGGATGTTTCCGCTTTATTCTAAATATTGAGATGTGGGTTACCCATTGTTGCATATCTATTTTGAGCAGGTATCGTATGTGTGTAATTTCATGATAATGTGATGCGCCTCTTTTGTACCATGTTTTAATCAAACTCTGATGAAATAAATTTTCTATGTGCCTAATTGATTTATCTAATTTATTTGGGGTATAGAAAGGGGGTGTTACAAGGGACGCCTAAAAGGTGAGTACGGCGACTCGGGTCCTAAGGCTAGGATAGGGTGAAGGTGAGGTATTGACTCGGCGGTCAAAAATGTGAACCTTTCCTTCGGAAAGGAGTAAACGGTAAAAATAAAGATAATGGTAAATGCGAGCAATGGTATGTAAGTGACGATAGCAAAGTGAACATTGTACAATAAGCAAATAATTAAAGATAAATGGATAAGTGAGGGTTTGATTTAGAAATTAATGATTAATTGTTTTTGAGATTTTTTGGTTAAGTGAAAATTGTGACAAAGTGTTAGAATTAAATAATTATAATTTTTTTTGAGATTTTATATGAATAAAGAAAGGATCTGGAATATAATTAAAAAAAATGCTAGACTAAGATAATCCTGAAAGAGTTAATTATTTATTTTTAGAATTTTATGAAATTGAAAAGCTAGAATTAATTATTTTTAAAGTTTTTATGAGAATATTATTTAGTTAGATTTAAACTAAGCAATTTTTATTTCTTATTATTGAAAGAAAATTTTTTTGAATTAAAGCTAAACTAACATTTTTTATTTTTGTTATTTTTATTAAGATTTAGAAAATAGACTTGAATTACTAACAAAAGTTATTTTTATTGAATTGAAGAGGAATTAGACTAAATGATCTTTTTATTAAAAAAAATTAATTTTATTTTATTCTTTTTTATGATTTTTATGTCTAATATTAAAAAGGTGCTTATAAATTAAATTAAAGGGTAAATTATTTTTAGTAAAACAAACTATCCGCAGTTGTTCTTTAGATAAGCGGGGTCAAAAGGACTATTAAAAAAATTGTTTTGTTTGTTTTAAATATTTTTGAAGATAAAAGGAAAATTTAAACTAAAAAATTTCCATATTCTTTTAAGTTATAAACAAAAAATCAGAATTAAAAATTAAGTTAATATTTTTGTATATTAAAAAAAAAGTTTATTTTCATATTATTATCACTAATTACTAAATGTCCCTTTTTGAATTAAATTAGTAGTTAGTAGTGTTAGTGTTAGTGGTTTTATTAATAATAATTACAACATAAAACTAAATCAAAACCAATAAAAAACAAAATAAAATAATAAAAAAAGCTAAAACCGGGCCGATGGTGGTCAGCCCACCGGACCCGGGTCGACCCGCCCCCTTCTCATGACAAGAATCAAAATTAGGGTTGGGGAAAAATCCGCCGAAACCCTAACTTCGAACGGCGCCCCTTTTCCTTCTTCCTCTTCTTCGATTTCGCGTTACCTTCTTCTTCTTTTCCAATTTCTTTCACTGTTCTTCTTCTGATCTTCTTTCAAATTCTTCTTCTGAACCTCTTTCCCTGTAAATAAACAACACAAAAAACAATGGATAATAGTTAATAGAACAAGAGACCACCTAAAGTGGGTGGCGATCGGGTTCGGTCTACTAGTGACTTCGTGGCAAGGGTGAAAAGGTCTCCGGCGAGATTGAAAGGCTTCCGGCGGCGGCTCGATGGTGACGTTTGGAAATGGAGGCGGCTCACGGATGTTGAAGGTTTGAGAGTTTGGAACGTGATTTGCATGGTGGAACCTACAACAAATGAGTTCTCATTTTTTTTTTGAATTTTTGGTTTTTTAAGATTTGGGATTTTCGGTAGATGTTTGTGTTGCTGAGAATTGTTGTTCTGAATTCGCTCCCCCTCTTCATCTCTTAGGCCTCCTTTTATAGGCTTCAATTTGAGATATTCTGATTGAAATTTGATTACTGTCTTTGAATGTTGATTGGGCTTTTCCATTTTGGGGTATATCAGATTTGAAAACTTTCTTTTTTCGTGAGATTGTAATGATGTGTGTTAATGAAAATTCCAACTTGTGATATTTTGTATCAATTACGTTTAATATCATGATTCAATGTTCTGGATTTGCTAGCTGTCTGAATCAAATCTCTTTCTCAAATGGATATTCTCTGATGGGCTTCTGATCCTCGGATTATTGTTGGCAGGTGTAGATAGCAACAATTTTGAATGTAAACCATGTACTGAATTTAGGAGTGGTTGGCCAATATCTGGAATCGCAGAAGATACCTGAGGATGATGAGTGGGGAGATCATGTACACTGATAGGTTCATGTTCATCTTCAGTTGCTAACTGAAAATTAGACAAAGCCAACATATCCAAGTTGGAAGAGAACTCTGCAGCTGCTAATTGATGAACCTATTTCGGAGGCATCCTGATTTGATTGGCAGGTACAGCATCAGCTGAACTAGATGCTAGTTGAACTTGATCAGATGAATTTTGCATTTCCCCAGTTGATTTGTCGGCGGCGGACTCCACAGATGGCAATTGTTTTCTGTGTTCTAGAGGCTCCTGGTTATTTGTGGTACTATTATCCATCAATATAGCATTTGCTGAAGACTCTATATCCATATGACGATTAGCCACTGTATGGCAATTTTATGGCATTATAATAGGGATATCTCCATCAGGAATACTCAAGACCCCATCATGTATTTGTTGCTTCGAAGGTGGATTTGCGGAGCAAGAAAAGGTGCAAGGGCGAAATCAAGGTGGTGCAGACATGAATGTATTCCTCTTTTTGAGTCACAAAGGTAGGAATTGCTTCACTCAAGAGCGGGAGCCAGCACTAAATGCTCTGGGTACATATCTAACACTTGCAACTCCTCAATGCCATTTTATGCTAATTACCCTTTCTTCATGCTCCATTGCAGCTCTTTACGTGAAAAATCAAAGCCGAAGTCACCTGCGGAGCCAAAGAGGTAGCTTAATTTGATGTCGTAATCGTGAAGGTAGACAATAATGGCACTAAGATGAGCCTTGGATTGACTATTGGTAGCATCGCACTTGTCAGCTGCCAAGCCCAATCTCAACAGGGAAGATGCGGCATCTGAATATTTCTCAAGTTTTATATAAACACTAGTTACAACACGGTATAGATCAAAGGCCATTTGTTCCTTATCATCTTCTTCAAGAATTGTACAGGCATCTGTATATAAATGAATAGCTTCTTCAGGCATGGTATCTTCTAAAGAACGAGCTCCCTTTTGCAAGAGCATCCGATGCAGGTTGTGGTCTACTGCACTCCATGTATAACTGAGATGCCTTTTGATAGAAGTCTCCAACTTCTCTCCAGTTGCTCAGCTCCTTGGCCAGAGCAGCAGCAGATTCCATGTGCTTAGCCGCATCCCAAGGTGAAGAAAGCATCTCTTGTCCTTGCGAAGCTTTCTCATAAGCCAACTTGTCTTTCTCATGATTCTTGGAACCTCTAAACCCAATAGCAGCCTGTTCATAAAGACCAGTAGCAATCTTCCAATCAGCACTCCACCTAGTAAGACTGAGTTTTGTTAGTTTATCAGCTTTGGTTAATAACTTGTTGGGATCAGAAGACGCCATGATTGTGTTGTTTGCGTCTTGACAGGGTTCTTCCGTGTTGTTGCAGGATTTTGAGTTTTGGCAAGGAAGAGGTGGGAATGATCCATCACTTTGTGCACCATAAGCAGGTGAAGGTGGCTGTTGCGGTTGCACAACTTGACTATTCCAGGCATACTACTGTTGGGGGTAAAATACACCTTGAGATATGATAGTTTGGTTGTTGAAATTGAGGGGTTGTGCGTGACTGCATGCCTGCATCCATAAGGCTAAGCAAATGCATGGCAGGTATTGTCTCATTAGAGTACAAATCCAAAGATCCCCTCAAATTTTGATGAGGCTTTATTCCATTATGTTTGCAAGGAAATGGGTATTCTCCATTTACCCTGTTGTTGAAAACTTCAGCACGTGTATTCCTACTACTATGCTTTTCTTGGCTTGTAGCATTGATATTTGTGTAGTTAAGATCAATATCCCTCCTCAAATTCTGCGTATGTACTGCACCAGATCAGAGTGAATTCATGAACCTCACGCAAATTTCCACTGGGTTGGATTGTTATGCTATTAACAAGGCTGTTTGTTTCTCTTATGTGCAGGGTGACGCGAAACGAGGTGTTTCGGATTTCGCGACTGCAAGTGACATGCCGATGGGAAGACAACCGTTATTGCCAACAATCAAGCTTCGACTTCAGCATGCTCTACTGGTCTTAGAAGATACATCATGTTTTAATATCTTCTTCTGCTCTCTACCATGAACACCATCGTATTCGGAAGTCACATAATTGTATTGTGTTTTGGTTTGTAGGAAGTGAGGACGCCGGATCATGTATCAAGATGGTGTAAGGGTGGATGCGTTCTTCCGCGTGGTAAGCTCGTTAACTTCTCCGATTCGGCAATGTCGCCAGAGCAGCAGTAATATCCTCAGAAATTATCATAGACTCAAGCCTTGGTTTACTCGAGTTTTAGTTCTTAAGTGCTAGTTGTAATGCTTAGTCAAGTTTGTTAGATTTTATGGTACCGAACTTATAACTTCCGCCTATAGCTGGATTAATATTCAAGGGTTCAGTATTTGCATCCTGTTTTAAGTAAAATGTTATGCTTTGAAACCATCAATGGGGCAATACCTTGTGACTTTTGTAGCATGACAAACTCTGATTGGCTCAAATTTTGACAATGGTAATAGTAATTTACTACTTGAAACAAGTCATGAGACGGGGTTCATTTCCTTGAACCATGTAATTTGTCATGAAGAGTGTTGAATTTTGGAACGGTATCTTGCATTTTGGATATCGGTTGGAAGTTTCATGTGGGGTCTTCTGGAGTCCCATTTTTTAACAATCTTGAAATGCAAAAATAAGGTGTTGGAACTTCATAAACCATGCTTGGCTCTTGAATTTGAACTTCGCAGTAAAATAGTGAACCAACATTGAAAAACTTTTGTAAGGAATACAATCTTGACCTTCATCTTAAAAGCATTTTGCTGAAACCAAGTTCAAAATGTATACCCAAGCTTCACTACCACTAATTTAACCTTGCTACAAAATTTAATTACACCTTGAGAACTTCTTTTAAAGTGATAATGCCATATGTAATACCATGCATCATGGAATTCCCACTAATTTTCAAATGACTATGCTCAAAACTACAGGACATGACTTACGGTCGTTCCTAATTATACCCTGAACCATCTGAGGGACCACGAGTACAAAATAACCTTATACTGATTAAAAAAACCGTGGACATGAGGGCATATCTTCCTTCCATATCCACATGAATTCAAAATAACTTAATGGACACACAAGATTTCTCATTACTTTCCACTTTTCTTTGACGAATCTGCAAAACGAACAAACTAGACAAAACGGTTAGTTTATGCATGGATGATGGACTTGAATGATATGCGAATGAAATTCACAAGGAGGTGGGATCTTAAGGTCAAAAATTAGGGTGTGACAGATGCCCCTATTTAAGTTTCTCCTATCTGGAGATATGGAGATTGAAATCTTCGTCTCGACATGATAGGAGGGACTTAAATACAAACAAAACACGAATTTTTGGGCCTTAAGAAACCACCGTGTGCATATGATATGTGATGATATGAAATGCAAGACCGAGGGGTCTGTGGAGAAAAAATGCCACAGGGGAAAACTAGACACGACATGCGAGGAACAAATGAGTAACAAACTCAACGAAGTGGGACTCCACGGGGACAGGATACAACCACCAATGGGAAATCTCCAAAGTATAACAGTAGCACATACACCAAGAATATGGTGTTTTAACAACAAGTGAGAAACTTGTAATCGAAGGATAACTTATTATCATCACGGAGCAATCCAGATGACGGTAATATCCAAAGTGAATTCTCTGATCGAATCAATAATTCAGTTCTGTTTTGTTTTCTTTTTTCTTTTATTTTTTATATGTATACATTATTTTTGAAATCCAACTGGAAATAGTAAGATGTAGAACCTCCCCGAGCGTCATAGTCTGGATGCTATGAGCTGGTCTCAGTCTCTGCTGTAGAACCTCCCCGAGCGTCATAGTCTGGATGCTATGAGCTGGTCTCAGTCTCTACTGTAGAACCTCCCCGAGCGTCATAGTCTGGATGCTATGAGCTGGTCTCAGTCTTTGTTGTAGAACCTCCCCGAGCGTCATAGTCTGGATGCTATGAGCTGGTCTCAGTCTCTTCCCAAAATGATGAAAACTCGTGAGAGCATCTTCACAAGGGGTTGTAAATTTTGTAGATTGTAGATGTCATTGTAAACTGTAGATGTCATTGTAGACTGTAGATGTCGTTGTAGACTGTAGATTTCGTTGTAGACTGTAGATGTCGTTGTAGGTTGTGGATGTCATTTGTAGATTGTAGATGTAATTGTAGGTTGTAGAACTTCGATTGTAAGCCATAATGTGCTGGAGGTTGCAAAACTTCACCGGGGATCTTCAGGAGAGATGTGGGTCGGTTAATTTGCAAAATACGTCCTCTCAAATAAAGAGAGATGTCTTGTAGTGTCTTTGGAAAACTTCTCTGATGTATTTACGAAGAGATGCCATTTAGACTTGTGTAGCGAACTCACTGGGGAAATACGTTCCTGTGGAGTGTCCTCGTTGTAGTTGTAAAATATTCTGTGAATTCTCAAATAAAGAGAAGTGTCTTGTAATGTCTTCGGCAAACTTCTCTGATGGATTTATGAAGCGATGTCATTTGACTAGTTGATAATCTCAGTAAACCCACTGGGGATGGACAAACTCTTGAGGAGACTGCCATTGGTCATCTTTGATAGAAAACCTGATCGAACAAGTTGCTCAAATAAAGAGGTCTCTTGTAGTCTAGGTATAAATTGCTGGGAAGATCTTGTGATATTGCTGGAAAAAGTATCTTATCTTTGATGATGATCTCCATAAAATTCTTCTTTGGGAGCAAAAATGCAAAATAAATGCACGCTTAATCCATATTCGAAAGTTGGAGGTGTCCATAGTGTGATTGTCAAGGACAGTAGTTCAATTCGGGAAGTAGCCGAAAAGAAACTGTCAAGCAAGACTCGACCATTGAGGTATGAACTCAAATGGGATTTAACTAAAGCAATCGTTTTCCATGAGGATAGAAATATTGTGCTTTTTCTGCTTAGGGATGACAATTCTACTTGGAAGGAGAAGACACAACCTAGTCCTTGGGGATAAACGCGACCAAAGTGACAGAACAAACAGACATAAAGATGCAAAATGCATATGCCATTCTATCTATTTATATGCTATGTGTATGCTATATGCCGACGTTGACACAAAAAATGGAAAGAGGAAACCAGAGATGAAATAAACATCTCAGAACAAACATCCGACCAATCCTCAAAGATAGAAGCACTGTTGGGGGATAGATGGAGAACCAAATACGGGATCACAGTCCTGCTTCAGGGTTTTAAAATTCCTTTAGGGGATAGAAAACATCCCACTTGGGGTGTAATATCCTTTTTTTTATTGACGGGTTCGTCAAGATGGATCTCCTTTTAGAAAAAACTTCGTAGATAAGATACATATCCCGCTTCGCTGGAGGGATTCCTACTGGAGTTGTAGATGGAGATACTCGAACTGAGGTCTCATAGGGGGTAAGATATATATCCACTTCAATGGGGAACCATGGGTTAATAAAACTGTTGAGTATGTCAGAGTCAAAACTTTGATGGGGATGAAATAAACATCCGCTTCGCTGGGGAAAACTAGTGTTATGAAAGATCCACTGAGGAGGGAAATAACGTTCACTTCATTCGGGAAGGTGAAGTTGAGCAAATCACTGGAGAAACAAACAGGTCACCCATATTTATCATCACTGCTTAAAATAGAGATCCATCGGAGGAATAATGGCCATTTGAAGTAAAATTCACCAGGGACATGAAGAAAGTTGTGAAAACCAAGTAGTTTTGTAATAGTCGCCATTTTGGACAATAGGTGTTGTGAGTGGATGACGTGCTCTTCATTTCTCAAATGCCCCAGAGTACATGCTTTATGAGAAAAAAAGTCGTTCCAAGAGGATTTTACAGAGAACAGGGAGTTCAATTGCCCCACTATTTTCAAACTCTTGGAGAGATTATCGAATCTCGACGTAACTGGCCCGGATTGACGATGTTATGTATAACTGAGTCTTCAAAACTTACTTCTGAGAAAGTCAGACTTGCATTAGTAGACAACTTGGAAACTACTTGCCCCAGTTCAACATGGTCTTCAAGTTTCATCATCGATGTCTATATGTAAACTTTCTAAGATATCAGGCAAAATCAACACGCATGACACGTTAGTCCTGAAACCATTAATGCAACTTATATATTTGTCTTGAAGTTTTTTTCTTTCTTTTTTCGTTTAAAAAGATATCACAATAACTTGTGACCGAATCACTAGTTAGGATACAAATTTAATTTATAAAGCCAACCTCAAATTGAGCATAGCTCATAGGAGTCAGGAAACGTCATCTCATCGAGTATGCTTTCAAAATAAACCATACTTCAATTAGGTCTTTTAAAGGTTGTATTGTG